AAACACGCAGGCTTGATGATGAATCCCCGCTCGAACACGGGGAGATTTATCGAGCAGAATGGGGAGTGGTTCTTTCCGCTGGAAAGCGACCAGATGCAGTGCGCTTCGGCGCAAGGCGAGGAGCATCCGCAGTCCACCGGGTGAGCCCACTCTCTCTCTTAGCTGTAGCTCTCGAGCCCGTACTCACCACGAGGAGGCGAATCTTCTTCCAAGCCACGGGGAGATGCACTCGGGTGGCTATTCCCCACCGACCAGGTACGTGCGTCCGTTCTTCTTCGTTCTTCGCTTCCTTCATACGTAGACACATCCTAGTCCCCGTTCACTTATCCCTCTTCGTTTCCCACCTTCTATCCAATGCACCTAGTTATGATCCCGGGCAGGTTCACACAGTGCCGTTTTGGCCATGCCTACAGAGGGATAGTGGGAGGCTATTTCGACCGATCGGAAAGGCATCGCACTTGTCAACAGGTAACTCGACAACTGCTAGCCCCCCCCCCCCCCTTACAGCATGAGCAAAAATCGAATGAATCTTCCGTTAGAAAACGAAAAGATACATCGCCATATTCAGACCTTCTTCTTCTCCGCGCAGCACCTCATATCTATGCCGCTCGAACCCTCGACTTATCCTCAAATCTGGCTTCGCCCTGCCATAAAACCCCCGAGTAGGATCTCTCCCCGCCCGTTTCCATAAAGAATTGGGCGGTTTCTCTCACTGTCCTTCTCCCACCTACACTCTTTCCCGTCATAAGTCCGCGAAGTCTTTTCTCTCCCAACCTCTCAATGTGCTAAGTTTCCTCTTAAACTGACTCCATCTTCGTATTCGCCTCCACCCAAAACCCTGAAAACATTTTCTTCCTCGCCTGATTCCGATAAGGATCGGGTGAGTTAAGCTTTCCTTCCTCCGCCGAGTTTGTCACCCGCCATCTGTGTTTTTCCTCTTAATGTACCTTATGCTCACGCCCGTCCAAGTTCACCCGCTCCCATTCTTCATCCTGTTAGCACCTGTAGCCATGCTGCCTCGCCTCGCCCGCTATAGTTAGTGTAGCACCCAACAACCACTATGGCCTGATCATGCCTGATCGATAGTTTCAGTCACTCGCCACCCCTCTACAGCTGCGCTCAGCTGACGCTCCCGCCATCTTAGTTATGGTCGTATCAGACACAGAGCCCCCGCCGGGTTCGTTCACCCCTCTTCCCGGCTTTCCCCTTCTCGGCGTTTCCCCGTACTCTTCCCCGTCGTAGCGCTTGGCCCCACACAGCGCACTTCAGTGGAATTCTGAGGGAACCAACTACTAGACGGCTCGATTAGTCTGCGGCTCCTATACCCAAGTCCGACGAGGTAGTCGGCACGACAGCATTGTTATTGCCCGATCCCGCTCGGTTCTACACATTCGCTTCGCATGTACCTGCGGCAGAACCCCGGATGGGTTCATTCGCCACAGTACCAAGGCCTTTCGGCCTGTGTTTTCGAACAGTTCGCGGGTACACCCACCGCCCGTGGCTTTGTTCATTACGGCGCCTAGCGCTTGTAGCCACGCCAGCCTTCTTTACATCATTCTAATTTTAACGGATGTCCCAAAGGGCTTGCCCTGGGCCACGGGGTCAATCAGCCCCGGCCCTCGGTCAATTCAGAATATTCGGCTTTTACTCATCAAAGCCCATCATCCTGGGTTTGAACGCGGTCCATATTTCAACAGTTCAATGGTGCGCCCAGTGAGCTAGGCTTTTGGGCGCCTGCTACACCCACGGTACCTCGCTCCGGTCCAAAGCGGGCCGCGCATAATAATAATAAAGCAAAAACAAATAAAAAAAATAAATAAAAACCAAAAATAAAAGACATACAATATCATAAATAAGGGCCCCTATGCACGGTGCGGGGACTGCTAAAGCCCCACCGGTCCCGTGGGCCGGCCCCGGCGCTACGTCTGTCAACAAAAAGCAGAGGGGGATAGCCCTTCGATCCTCAACCCCTCGGTTTTCTCCGCACGCTCCACTGTAGTTGTTGCTCCGACGCCCGCCGACCTCGATCCCAGAACCTCCTTAGCAATAGTCCGATGCCGTAACCTATAGGGCTAAGCCCAAACCTGAGACCAAAACGCGCCGAATGCCTTATAAGGTGGTGCGGCGCGGCGCTCAGGAGCAGGGAAATTGGCCTGAGTCTCATCTCCGCCTACAACCATTTGCGCGGCCGCCCAGCGTCTGCACCAACTTACCAAAGCTGTACCACAGCTGCCACTTGCGCTCCTCCTCGTGCCCAGACCTGCCACAGACACACGGTCGCCGTTGTCGCTGTCGTCCTCGCACGCGCACTCCCCTCGGCCAACGCACCAATCAAAAGGGAAATATCCCTAGTTCCTACTTACTCAAAAATGAATAAGTAATAATAATAATACCAAGCAGAACGACCGAGGTCCGGGCCGGCTTTACGATCTATAATAGAAAAGAACCACGCGCGCCTTAAACCTGCGCGCCCACGCACTCGCTATTGTGGTCAACCACCCTGTGACGCAATTATAGACGCAACCGTGCTTAGCGTGGTATACTTAAACTCTAGACCAAAACTATTTTCTGTCACTTGCAAAAACCAGGGCGGATACCCTTGTAAGGGTATTCGCACTGACAACTTACCGGACCATATTAAGCAACGTTCCCGTCGCTTCGCCAAATCAGAAAGTTATAAATTCATCCACACCCCAAATGCTGACGAAACAGGAGCCAATCCGATTAGCCGACAAACACAGGGTAGAGGCCTCCATCAAACCATGCCTCCACAACTATATGCTGCCAGGCTCCTAACCCGAGCCTCTCACCGCCCAGAAATTAGGACGCTGACCGCATAAGTTCCAAAGCCCTTGCCAATCGTCCTCTCCCCGGTCCTAGACAACCTTCGGCTTCTCGTTGGGTGTCCCTAGTCCTGGCAAAACTAGGGACGCGGACCTTAATTGAGACCTTTTGAAGGCACTCTCGCCTTCCTTCTCAAAATCTCTCGCAATCAGATACACATAAGTATATATGTATACTTAATATCTGCTTAGCTCTTTCTGCAGTCTCGTACAGAAAGGTTAGGTCTCCTTCTTGCCCCACCATAGCCTGGCTGATCGGACCAGGACCACGACCCACCGCATTGTTATTTAGCAGCAGTACCCTCGTTGGTTACGCAACGATGGGTTTTCTCTTGATAAACATTCAATCAGGATTTCCCCCAAAAAATTATCAACTATCACTATCCCACAGAGTAATTTCACTGGGGCGGGCACCCCCCCCTTAAACTCTTACCCACGCGGTCCCACAGCCAGGTTGCGTCGGCTAGCAGTCATCCAATGGGGTTACGCCCTAGAGGTACTAACTTCTTTTCCGTTAGCTTGGCCTTTCTTTAATATGTCTCAGAATTAGCACCAGTGGTTAGACGGGGGCGTCGCAAAACAAAATCACTGGCCCACTGCGCGATACGCAGGGGGCCGAAGACATTTACCAGCCCTCCCTCAATAGGCATGGCATCTTTCGCACGCTTACAAACAAAATCACCGCTAAATCCACCATGCCGTGACCCCTGGCTTGATCAGAGCGAGCAACCACCCACTCTGAGACATCTCTCGCCCTAGACTCATTGCGACTTTCTCAAAACATTCCAAATAAAAAGTGACCCTTTTCGTCAGACTTTATCACTCATCAGACAACTTACTATGTCATAAATCAGCTTACTCACCTTTGAAGGTGAGTCTCTCAACAATAAAAACATCCCCTTTTCAAAAATCCAAGGGGCTCTCATCATAAACAAAACACCCCCTCTTCTAAATATCATGAGGGGTCTTGCCACAGAACAAAACATCCCCTCTACAAGGGATCACGAGGGGTCTCGCCATAAAACCAAACTTCCCCTTCTCAAAGCTCGAGGGGGTCTCATCATAACACACAACATCACAAAACATTCCCTTTTTCAAAACCCAGGGGGTTATCATAAACAAAATCACTTAGAGACCATCTTATGGGTCCTCATCACAACTTAAGCATCCAACAATCAACATGATAAGCATTTTGAGCCTCCAAGGCTCATAAACCTTCAAAATCCTCACAACCTTTTACAGACGGGCTGCGCTTCTTCCCCTTATACTCTGCCCTATCAACTGCTCGTGGGCAGATAGCACAAGTATACCGAGGAGTAGACAGTTTTGCTTACAATCATATTCATAGTACCCATGGCAAAATAAGATGTTTTTCACACACTGTCCACATAAACCCACCACACATCAGAGTACAACCACACATGTGAGAGAGACAAGTGATCGTCACATATAAGAATGGTCCATGAAATAAAACCTCATCATACTATACACTCAGGGAATAAAATGTCTCACCCAGAAAGTGTCTCCAAATCATAGCTCACTCAACTCAAGCCACACCAAACCCATACTGACAACAACCCCTCGAATACATGTCAGATCTGTCTCTCAAAGCTAGTGCATAGGCCACCTAAATATGTACATGCCTCATCTAAATCACCCTGATCCTCAAGACTCCAACTCAGTAGGAACACTAGAGTTCAGATCTAGACTGGTAGCAATCAACAAAAAGGTCCTCTAAGTCTAAGAGGGTATCACACAGAACCTAAATTAATGCCTCATAAGATACTCGCCCATTTACATAGACAAACCGGCCCTACCTTCTCAACTCCTCCTGGTTTTGCCTATATAACTGAGCCATAAATCCATCTGCGGACTTCTCTACTATCCTACCCTGTCTATCATACATCTTATCCCCTGCCTCTGAGACCTTCCGTGCTGCCTTATCCTCAAGGAACTCGAGACAGTCCAGAGCATGATGCACGTCCCTCTTGCAGTAGAAACATAGTTGATCAACCTTCCTCTTGAACTTCTTCTTCCTGGGCTGAGGAGGTGGCGATGAAGGAGATCCGACCAAGGTACTGACAACCCCCTGGTGCTCTGATCGAGGAGCTGCGGTACTAACGACCTCCTGTTGCTTTGTCCAAGGATCCGGTCCCCTAGACCTAGATCCGGTAGCGCAAGGTTCCGGTCTGCTCCTCAAATCCCCTGTCGCTGGGACGTACTCAGGCGTGTCCAACCTCTAAGGTCTCCTCTCGAGTGTCTCTCCTGGCACTGCCATGGGCTGCTCCTCAATCTCCTCCGGCCCATACTCAGGCGTGTCCATCCTCTGGAGCCCGCCCTCGATGGCACCCTCTGCCTCAATCCCCATCTCTCTCTCAAGAGGCTTCTCTATCCTCTGCTCGGGTGAAAACAAACTCACCTCCTCCTGCATAGTATGCACCGCCTCAAGAAGCACGCCCATGGATCCCTCTGCAGAGCCCTGAGCCGGCTCACTGCTAGATGGTGCTAGCCCCTCCTCAACTGCCAAAGGTACGACTGGGCCCGCCGCTGCTACTGGCAGCGTCGCAAGCTCGGTAGGGGCTCTGAACTCGAACGCCTCTCTCTCCGCCTGTCTTTGGGCTCTCACCTCCTCTGACTCCAGGATAACTCTCCTCATAGGTGGCTCCTGGCGAGGCTCTGTTGCAGATGGTTGTCCTGGCAACCCATGTCTTGGCTGCCTCTGCTCTCCCTGCCTGCTGCTCTCTAGCTTGTCCACCTTTCCCTGGGTTTGCTGCCTCAGGTTCTCAATGATAGCTGCCTGGCTGGCCACCAAAGCCCTGAGTTCCTGGATTTCCATCTCCATAGCCTCCAGGCGTACTCCATGGCTTGCTTCCTTTATCTTCTTCCCTGCCAGATCGCCCGCCAATAACAAGTGTCGGTCAAAAGTTATCTTGGCCAGGAACTTGATCTTGCGATCTAACCTCTCTTCTGCCTTCCTTGCCACCCCAAACCCGGCCCTGACTGGCGAAGGAACCTCCTCTCCTCTCTGCTCCCAGAAGTCCCTCCACATCTCTGGGATCTCCGGGGCCCTAGCTGGCGCGCAGGGAGGCTGACCTGGGAGTGCTCCCGCTGCCTCCGACCTCTGCCTCTCCTGCTGCTGCTCCGGAAGCTCCCCCGCTGCCTCCAACCTCTGCCTCTCTTGCCATAGCTCATCTATCCGCCTGGTTCTTCTCGCCCTCTTTTCTTCAGCCGTCTCTCCAGCTGACGTCCTTTTCCTTGTGCGGAGGTCGACCCTCTTTGGGATTTCTGCTTCCATCTCCTTCTCAGGCTGGCACGGCTCCTGGCGCGGCTCTGCAGGTGCTGGCTCCTCCAGGTCTGGGTGCTCTAGGTCATAAGCTGCTAGATGTCTGTCAATCAGGGTCAAGGCCTCTTTCCTTACAGCTGCCCTCTCTGTCCTCCTTTCTGCTCTCCCTTCTCACGAAGGGGCCTTTATTGATGAAGGCAATGGGGCCTCCTCTCTCCGCAACCTCTCCCCTGCCTAGCGAGTGCTCCTTGGTGCATCCCCGAGTCTCAAACCCACCGCTGGCGTCTGTGGGGGCGTGTCCTCTCCAACCTTTATCACTTCCTTCCCTGCACGTCTCCCCTCATCGCCCAACCCTCTCTCTCGCTGAGTATCCTGAACCTCCTCCCACGGCACCTCCTCTCGTGGCACCTCCTCCTATGGAACCTCCTCTCGTGGCACCTCCTCTGCCTGCTCTCCATGCTCCTCGCTCCGAGACGACACCCTCCACCGAGAAATATCTAAATGCGTCTCCAATTCCCTTAAGGGCCCCTAAGATGCTGGCGGCTCCTCCTGTGTGCGTGCTGGCAACCTCCTGAATCCCCCCTCGGTAAACCGATGGAACTCCTGTGGTCCCAACCCACACTCAGGGTATGCCCCTCGCTCCTCAGCCTCTAGCTCCGGCTCTGGTTCCTCTTCTCTTCTTGGCTAGGGCCTTCCGTCCTCCTCGAGATGGTCTTGCCTCCCTGGGCTCAGGGTCCCTCTGCCTCTGACTCCGCCGACGCCTCTCAATTCTGGGCTGAGGGGGCTCTGGCCGTCGAAAGGCCTCTCTCAGGTGCGCCCTGCAACTCTCCCAGTCCCGGGCCATGTCTCAGACCTGCTTGGCCAGTGCCCTTTCCGCCTTTCTGGTCCAGAGGGGTAACGTCCTCGCCCATTCATCTCTCGGTATACCCTGCCCCTGCATGAACCACTCGAAAGCAGGAATAAAATCCGCCGCATTTCCGATCTCTAGGCGGATCGGTCTGCCATCTGGTCCCACAGGCGAAGGTCGCAGCTCCTCCATCCTCATCTCCACCTCCTGCCTCGACGTCGCCTCCCTACGAATCCTTGTAATGGGCTCCTCGAACCGGCCTGCTCCCCTCAGCCTCTCAATCGCCTGGGCCACGGTCCAGCCCATACGCCTCGCATGATCTCAAAAGTTATCCAGGAATAACTCGATGTCCCCATCATCGTACACCAGAGTACTCTATCGATGGCGAGGCCCATGCCGCTCATATCCTCGTGATGCTCGCAATGGCCTCTGAGGCGGTCCTGTCCCCTTCCCTCCTCTTGGTATGACTCTCTTCGTAAAGTCAGACCTGCACAACAGGCGAAGGAGACAACAGACACACGTTGGGGTAAGCAAACAGGTGATAGTCAAAGCAAGCTCAGACCAGACCACACTCATACAGCATGCATCCTACCTAACCTACACACCCTGCTACTTTTATTCTAAAGGCAGTCAGGTCATCTCTCTTACCTCTTCTCTCACTACAAATTTTGTCAGTCGCGTTCCAGATACCCAATCCTTCCACTCAGTCTCATTTAACTCCTCAATCTGGTACACTCCGAAGTCTCCGACACGTGAGATCCGGTAGGGACCTAACCACCTCTTATCGAGTTTCTTGGACCACTGCTTTTCGAGCGATGAATCGTAGAGAAGCACGACATCCCCAACTGTCAAGGGTACTTTCCTCACCTGCGCAGACTGATCCCATCGAGCCTTATCATCCATACGGCTTCTCGCCACCTGGTCAGATGCCTCCTGGATCCTTTCTTCTATCGCCCCTATCTGCCGCGCTCGGATATCGAGCAACTCTTCAAATGATAGGTTAACTTCCAGATCCTGGCACCTCCATGTCTTAAGAAAGCTTTCGATAGGGAAGGTGACGTGCCTTCCGTACCACAGCGTCGCAGGTGCGTACTTGGTGGATCCTTTTACTGTAATGTTCTCGACAAAAAACGCCGCCCTTAGGTACCTTGGCCATTGATTAGGCCTACCTTCGGTCCACTTAGCCAGGAGACTCGTAATGGTACTATGTCCTCTCTCCACGGGAGCATTTGCCTGGGGGTGCGCGGCCGTGGTGTAGTTGACGGCTACACCATACCTTGATAACAGTTTTTGCACCTCCTGGCAGGTATACTCCGATCCCCTGTCCATTACGAATTCCCTGACGAAAGGATAGCGTAGGTAATACTCCTCGATGCAGCTCACCGGGACAAACCCGGTCTTTGTGTGAATAGCGCGCCCGTCTACGAAGCCGGACAGGTTATTGCGCGCATCGAAGATGTAGTTATAGCCCTGATCCCCAAGCGGCATAAAAAGCAGATCGAGATGCACTAAAACCCCCACCTCTCGCTCTAGACTTGGATGCAGCGGCTCTCCTTGCCTTAAACGGGATCTCTCCTGACAGGGTACGCAGGATCGGCAAAACTTCCTGACCATATCCATCATCTCATCCCAGTAGTACAACTCACTTATTTTGGCATACGTGGCTTGTACCCCTCGATGCCCTCCTGCAATGCCATCGTGAAGCGCTGCTACGACGTCGACCTGACGATTCCTACCGCAGACGACCCTCCTGGGATTCTCCACTTCTCTTCTCACAAAAAGGTGGCCATCTCGCACTAAGTAGCGCTGCAGCATCCTCTGAGCCCTATCGCTCGCATCCCTTAGCCGCATTTCGCAGGACAGAAGAAGCCCCAACTCTAGGTAGATCCCGTCGTACTCCTCTGCACGAAAAGCCTCCTTAATCTCCCCCTCCTCGAACTCGTCGTCCTGGCTCTCGGGCACTTCGTCCACATTCCCTGCCGGGTTCAACGAGCCTGACTGGTCGAGGCTTTCCTGCAATAACGTGTTGACGAGGAGATACATTCCTCCCATCAGGTCCTAAGGCCGTTCTTCCAGGCCAGGTCCTTCCTCAATCGTCCTCATGTCCTCCACCAGGCTATGCGAGCTGGCCAATGCTAACTCCACCATCCACTGAACATCCTTACCACCCCAGAGATCCTCTTCTTCAAAGGGTTTGAGGACTAGCTCGGCCCTCCTTTCATACCCATTCGGTGCTTGCCAGATAGGATAACCTACACAGCTGGGCACTCGCGGCGATCACTTGTTGATGTGGAGACGAACATCTTCTTCCTGATCCAGAAATCCATCAACTGGGGGCGTATTCTCCACCGCCTCCCCTCCCTGTTTATCCCTGTTGATCCGACTCAGCCCGTCCGCCCGGTTCTTACTACCAGTAATCCGTTCCAATTCGAAATTGAACATCCAGATGTATGTCATCCATCTGGCAACCGTCGGATCCGATGGAACGTAATTCCTTAGAGAGTAGGCTAGGGCGGTCGGATCCACTCTAAAAATAAAGCTCCTGCCGAGGATGTAGTTCCGGAAGATTCGCAGACAGTGGAGGACGGCAAGGGTCTCCCTCCTGAACTGAGAGTAGTTCCTCTCGATCGTACAGACAGTCTGACTCTCAAATCTCAAGGCCCTTTTCTTTCCTTCTATGTCTGTCTGGATGAGAACTCCTCCTAAGGCAGTTAGCCCCGCATCTGTTTCGAAAATGAAGGGTCGTGTTTCTGTTGCATCATAAGCTGGCGCTCCTAATACCAACCCTGCTTCTCGAAATTCCTCCTTCATTCTGGCCACCACCTCTTCCTGCTCTTCACCCAAACCCATTACTGATCCTGACGGACTAACTTCCTCAGGTGTTAAGTCTTAGCGGCAAAATTCTTGACGAAGGCCCTCCAAAATCCACATGTACCAAGGAAGCTCCTGACATCCGTTATTGAGTGGAACGGAACTGGCCACTCAGTAATCTTGTCCGTCTTCTTCACATCCGGCCTCCGGCCCTTCTCGCTGCAGACGAACCCCAAAATAGTCGCTTCCCTCATGNTCGCTGCAGACGAACCCCAAAATAGTCGCTTCCCTCATGCAGTGCCTGGACTTGGGCCCGCTCGCCGTGAGGTTATGCTCCTCGAGCAGGCTCAGGACTTTTTCGAGGTCCTGGATATGCTTCCAGACAAAGCGCCTCACCCCTAGCAAAACTTCGTCGCTCTCTTTCACCGCCGGCCGCTTCACTGCGAAATCGTCGATGTATGGTTGTGTGATAAAGGGGCTGACTGACTGCATAGCTCGAATCATGGCCCGTTGGACCATTGCCACCGCATTGGTCCACCCTTGTGGGGCCACGTTCATATGGATTAATCCTCACGGCTTGTGCATAGCCGTCACCGGCCTGTCCGCCAAACAGACCGGGAACTGATCATATCATGAGTAAAGGTCTATAAGTGAAATTATAGGCCTTCCAGCACAAAACTCTGACAACACGTCCGCATTGGGCAATCCTCCAGCATCCCGCACGGTCACCGCATTGAGCCTCTGCAAATCTTGCACCCACCGCAGCGTTTTGTTAGGCTTGATTAAGCAGAACCACGGGGACGCATACGGTCCACTCGAATAGTCGGCGACGTACGTACGTATCTTGCCGTCGAGGTAATCCAAGACCTTCTTTTCTTCGTCAGGATTAGGATATCGCGCCCCTCTCATGTTCCAAGGTTCGTGTGGCACGGTGTGGATATAGATCATAGGTATCTTGTCCACGTCCAGCCTGCCGCGCTCCTCGTCAATAAACGCATAGGCGCGATGCCTCCCCTTTATCAACTCCACCATCAATGTCCGCTCCTGTGGCAGCAGGAAGTCGGGCTCCCCTATGATCTATTTCCCCCCGTTCCCTTCGTTGATACGATATGGCCCTGCTAAAGCACTTTCCCTCATCCGCCGTATCAACCCTCGTTCCCTCTTGTAGTATTCTTCATCATCTTCTGTAACGAGGACGGGAACTGGGCGGCACTTCTTGTCGACCGTCTTGTACCGCCTTTGGGAACCCTGCTTGAGCCGCCCCCTAAAAAAGGCCGGCTCACAGATTGCGCCTGCGCTGATGCGGGGCTCCTCCCGCTGCCCGGAAACCGATATACCAGCTCCAACCTTCCTGCCTCGGGGCATTCCATAACTTGCTCCCTTAGAGTTTGGATGGTATCCGGATCTGCTATCTCATGCGCGGCCACCAAGTCCATGGCCTTCCCAACATCTGACAGACTGAGGGAAAATGCTTCCACCCTCTTTCCTTCTTCGGGCTCTGCCCGTAGCCTCCGACGCTCACCTTCCGACTCTTCAATCGTGAATGATCCCCGATTGGGCCGGTTCCTTATACTCCTTGGCCCTGTGTTCCTGCAGGTAATTATTTCGTAATTCCCGCAGGCCGGATCGCATAAGAGGAGGATTAACGCCTCGTCATGCTTATTGAATATCACGGTCTCCGTCCTGCTTAGGAATGACATCCCCAGGAGGATTCCGTGATCCACGTCCGGCATGATGAAGAGTCAAGCTCGGGTTTTTACATTTCCAACCTTGATAAGTACATTCGAGGCTGTCCCACAAAATACGGCCTTGCAACTGGCTCCGTGCAGAATAGCGCAGTCAGAACGGTCTATATCCAGCCCGAATCTAATCGCGTCTGCCTCCCGAATAATGTTCATCTCCGCCCCGGTGTCCACCATTGCTGCGCACTTAGAACCCTTCACCACCAAATTCACCGTGCCGCAGGCTACGCACTTCCACTCCATTTTCGTACCCGACTCCGCCCACTCAGCCTCCTTGGGCAGGATCGTACCAAGATGGACATTTGGCACCAGGCGCCGCGACAATCTCCTCTTGAGTTCATCGCGGAGTCGCGGGGCCAACGCTAGGATTTCCTTCAGAGTCATGAAGTCATTGTGCCCTTCTAGCAGCCGGTCGATCACTTTCTCCACGTCAAACCCCTCCTCCAACCGAACCGCATACTTTTTCCTTTAGGGCGGTCCGTCGCGTACGACCGACTCGACCTCTCCCGTGGCTCCCTTTTTCCTTGCGCGCTGCTCCGCTCTCTGATCCTCCTCCCTACGCAGCCTCTCGTCCTCTTCCTCCTCATTGTTGTCATCCTCCACTTCCACAGCCTCCTTTCTTTTTCCTGGCTCCGGCTCCCTCCTTGGAAGTTCTTGGCTGGCGCTGGCTTTGGCTTGATTTCTCGTTCGTGCTGCCTGTGCCAGCCGGGCCTGCGGGGTGAAGGGTCTCCCCATCATCCCCGATTGTGGGCACGACCCCCCCACATTTACTCTGGGTCGCCCAGGCACTGACTCCGGACCAGAGTCGTAGAGGAACACCTTAGGGATGTTAGACTTTCATTTCCTCACTTCCTCACAGGGGCCCACCAACTTCTGTTGGTACCTCCCCATCTTATCCAACAGCTCCTCCATTTTCCCCAACAAGACGGACGGAGGTTCCATCCTTTCTTCCTCATCCTCGTCATCTGACTTGACGATTATGGGCTCTTCCCTTTTGCTTCCTCCTCGTAGCCCTTGAGTCACTTCCTCATCGCTCCCCACTTCCTCCACCCCAATCGGTGGTTCCTCCTTTTCCTGCCGTAACCTGAATTCCTCTATCCCCACCGATGGTCCTTCCTTCTCCTGCCATAGCCTGAACATGGCAGGGGGTGGCGGCCCAGCTGCCGCTCTTCGTTGGGCTTCCGCCCTCACTCCTCCAAGCCTTCTATTGATGGCCTCCCCAAACTGATCGTTAATATTCTCATCCATAGTGAAGGAAATCAACTCGCTCCTCTCGTCTTCCCATCTTATATTACAGAACCTTATAGTGTGGCCTTGTTGGTCACAATGTTGGCAGATGGCTGTCCTCCAGTCAAAACGGGGTCTTCCATGCCCCTGACTTCCCTGATCCCCCTGGTCTTGGTACCCCTGACCTTGATACCCCTGACCTTGATTCCCCTGGCCTTGGTACCCCTGACCTTGATACCCTTGGCCTTGATTCCCTTGGCCTTGACCATTCCATTGCCTTCCTCTTCCGCCACCATTCCTGCCTCGCCCCGTTCCTCCACCCCTCCCTCCGTTGCCTTGATTGCCCTGCCCTTGGTTCCCACCTCCAGCCACGCTTCCCTATGAACTGGGAGCGGGTGACGGCGGCGGAGCCACAGGATGGGCCTTGGCTGCGGGGTAGATGGGTGGCGGCATACTCGTTTGCGGTCCGGCTACTGGTGGCGGGCTACCCCATGGTACGATTGCATTGATCACTGGCCAGGGCCACTGTCCGTAGGAGGGCGYCCCTCCTTGCGAGGGGCCCGTACTAGATGATGGAGCCGCCACATTTAAAGGGGTTGCTGTCAAGGCCTGAGGCGCCTCCGCTTTTCCTGATCCCTGTCCGCCCTGCGCCAAGTTACGCACTTTGCGTTGGGCCTTCGTCAGGGGCTGCGGCACAAGCTCTTCCTCTTCCCAGAGCTCCTCCTGAACAGCCTCCTCTATCACCGGCTCCTTTCCTTTCACTTGGACAACCGTTATTACCCTCCTTTGCACCACCGGCTTTGTCGCATACCCCAGCTGTGCCAATACGTCTGTAACAATCCTTGTTACCCCCGGGGTCCCAGAAGCGGTCGCATCTCTTTCCTTTCTCTTCTGCCTTTGCAGGCGTACCTGACGTTGCTCCACCTGGTCCAAACACCCAACTTCCACCCCTCTGTCAATGGTGGCCCAGGTGAGCTTGATGCTACCTCCTCCATGCCTCGTCAACTCGACGGCCTCCGATGCCGTGAGTAGCCCCAGGAAGATGGCACATTGTGCTTCCTCCGAAACCCCATGGACCTTCCACGCCCTCTTCTTAAATTTTTGAACAAAGGCCCCTATCGTCGTAAAATCCTCTTTGTTCATAGACTCAAGGTCCGCGGTAGTCAATAGCCCGTCTCCCAGGCGGTATTTCCTTTGCATCCCCTCCTTGAACCTCTCCCAGCTACCTTGGGCCGCATCTATGACTTTATTCCCTTCCTGGTGGTAGCTGTGGAGGACATACTGAAGAATGCGTTGAAATTTTACCACGTCCGACCGCCCGACCAAAGTTTGTTCCACCTGTTCCAGCCATTCCGAGACTCTTTCCCCACAAAAGTGGAAGGTATCGACTTTAGGGATATTGCTCGGGTTCCTTTCATGCCGGTCAATGGCCGCAATRAGGTCATCGARCGTSAGRCCCTTCYTGGGACCACCYGATGCRCCGCCGCCTTGCGMCATCTTGACAMACCTTTYTCTTCAAGCTCCCTGATAAGAGAAAAACAAACACATCCCTTTATTCAGCATTACACCTTGACCGGTCTATTCCATCCGTCCTACCTAACCCTTAGTACTTACTTTTACCCAATGCTACGCGTTCGTCCTTCATACCTTCCCTTACTCACGTAGGTAAATTTCCTCAACCATACTTAATCATTCATTATCTTTCCTTGCCTTCTCATCATTCCTTTATGCCTTTTCTCATTCACTTCTCATACCTGGATGTCGTTCCACCAGGGACAACGGTAGGCTTTCCGTTATCCCCGGCAACGATGCCACCTGTCGAGCGCATCAGTCCAGCACCGCACCAGGGCGGCGCGGGACCCTCCCGGCCGMGTCACGCAGGAGTCGGTTTAAATCCTTCGTCGCAAATAATACATGTGGAGCTTCCTTAAGCCGCTCCGGCCGAGTGCGCCAGCCATACCTCTCGCGAGCCCCTGCGACAGGATAGGGCCTACGCGAGGCACGACTTACCTACACCTTACGGGAGTTGTCACCTCCCTTCGGTGGGCGTATCCCCGCCGAGCTACCAGTCCACAATACGAAAGCTAATCAGTTGCAATCGCAGAGCTGGACCAGCCGAGGGCGTTTCTCGTTCACTGTAGCATAGGGGGTACGCGCGGTAATATGCCTCTATCGGACCCGCACGCAAACCCACATCTTGGGGGGCTGAGGTCCCAAGCGTGGTTCGTCGCCGGTCGACTAGGACGCATCCCACACACCACGCGCACTCCACTTTACAAACACACATACACACATAACAACACACAAACGAAACGGCACAACACAAACAACACGACAACGCTCCTAGCCCCTCGGTAGCCAACCCATAACTTTCCGACAGGGAAATCGGGTAAGCGTCGCGCACGAGACTTAGTATAAAACCGCACGGACGCAGGGCCTACTCATATCGACTTGCAATGCACGCATACGTAAGCAGTCGCAATGATGGCGTACTATGTAGTGCCCATAATCAAGCGGTCCCTCGTGGATTGGAGTACCGCTTATGACACTCAAGTGTCAGACTCGAAGTGTCGTGAGGGCCTTACCCTTCACGACATTACACGGCTGAAGGAATAGTCGTGCAGCCGCGGCGGCACCTCCGACTCTCGGCCTGAGTGTCTTGGTAGGCAAATCAAATAGGCTCTGCGCGAGGGAAAAACCCTCCCCTGCAGAGCTTAGGGCTTGGGGTGTCCTGGACAAGGACCTCGAGTCCCGGCCCAGGACCAAATGTCTGACTAAGAAAAATCATCAAAAAACAAGAATAAAAATAGAAGGAGATGTTTCCCCTAAGCCCCTCAGTCTCATCTTCTGAGTAGGACTTTAGTATGGGGGTTCCTCAAGCCATGCAAACATTCATCCCAAGTATACCCATGTATACATATATAAGGGTTAAGTTTATGATGATCACTTCTCACGGTCTCACTGGGGTCTCTCACAATAATACGTATATATGTGATCGTAGGCAACCAAATCCAGAATCTGATTCACAGCACATACCTGCAATCACATCAACGAACCAAATCAACARCCYRSACACTACAYGGAGTCAACCCYAACCACCTTCGACACTCATACCCCTCGCTTTAGCCATGCAAGCCCCAAAACCTCATGTCCAACCAACCTTAATTAAATACTCAGTACCTTTGTTAAATAGCCATTCAATAAAAGTCCGGGTGAAACCTTAATAAAACAATGAAATCACCAGGGCTAAAGCCTTTCAGGTTGAGTGTGGAGGGAGAGTTGAAATTGAGTCGTATACCGACGAATCAGTAACCGACCTGTTATCAGTGATAACAGAAAGTGATATTCAAGGGATCAAGCTGGATGTAGCCCTGAACTTGGGATCAAATGATCAAAAAGACCTGTAACACACGACAGACCAATCCCCAAGCTAAGATCATAAGTGTATGGAGAATACATCTCCATAATACACCCTCACTCAAAATCTCCCTATAAGCTAAACTAAAATCTACTTTTAAGCCGGTGCTTAAGCTAAAGGTAGACCTACTACGAAATTTCCTCTATTGTGGGAGGGTCGCCTGAATCGCCACCTATCAAAATATAGTCCACCTCCTCTGAACTAAGAAAATTTCGGCAGCGTTTCCCGTAGGAAAAGTGTCTTTCCAGAATTTATATAAGCTCAGATATGAACGCAGAAATAATCTCTAACGCTAGAAGGTCAAATTCTGTCTAACTCTCTGAATTAGTAAAACTTTGGGCAGCACTCCCTTTACAAAGGGAGGCTTCCCAGATTTATACTAAGCCAGATCTGAACTCACAAGACAACCTGCGTTCAACTTAGACAAGATTTAACTAACTCCTTAATTTTTAAAAATTTCGGCAGCACTCCCTCTAGAAAGGTGCTATTCCAAAATTTATACAAGGCTAAGTTCAGATTTTGAAAGCAACTTTGGCTTCCCAAAGTTCAATTTTGCCTAACGTCCTGAATTAGCAAAAATTTGGGCAGCACTCCCTTTAGAAAAGGAGACTTCCCAGATTTTAACTAAGTCAGATATATGGAACAGAGAAGTTGAACTTTGACAAGTCAAAAGTTGACTAACTTCTTGGATTTGTAGAAATTTTGGCAGCGCTTCCCGTAGGAAAAGTAGCTTGCCAAGATTTATACAAAGCCAAGTATAAGAAAATATCTCAAAAAATGCAGGAATTGACCTAAGTAAAAAAAAGTTATTACAAAAAATGCAGGAATTGACCTAAGTTAAAAAACGTTATTACAGAAAATGCAGGAATTGACACTAACTCGTATGGCTCTAGCACGTGGCGAACAACTAAAGCAACTACCTATAAAACTGAAACCAAAACAAACTAGTCATCCCATCTAGTCACATGCAAACCAAACCACGAATGTAAGTACTCTCACCATCCTAAGTTCATTTCATATGTATAGTTCATGAATCTTCAAGTTCTTGAATCTTTATACCCATCTTACATAAGACATAGAGATGGACCATTCGCCATGGAAACAGTGCCCAACTTGTCTTTATAATATACACGAACAGGCTGCACAACTACTTCTCTCTTCTTTTGGGCAGATGACTAGGCCATTCGCCATGGAAACAATGCCTAGTCGCCCTGAGCTGTTTAATATCCAAAGATTTAGTATTTTTCTGACTTTATTTTCAAAAAGAAACACAAACATGGGCAGGGGACTGGACCATTCACAGTAGAAACAATGTTCAGCTTGCCTAAACTATTTCCATTAATACTCTGTATTTTTTTTTTTTTTTTTTGAACGATATGGCTTAACGCTGGATCATTCACAGTAGAAACAATGCCCAGTTGCCAGTTCACATGCAAATATACATAAAGTATTTTTCTTTATACTCAGTTTATTTTATGTGCGTGGTTTTCAGGCTAAACCATTCACCATGGAAACAATGCTTAGCCTTAGACCAAAAATCCTCCCTCAGAATAAACAAGAATTTAAACCCCTTGAATCAGGCAAACCCTCAGAGTTAACTAGGGTAGCCAGACCATTCACAGTAGAAACAATGCCTGGTTCCCCAGAAAACAATCAAATAAATACAGCGACCAGGCCATTCACAGTAGAAACAATGTCTGGTCCTTCAGAAAATCAGCCAAATAAACATAGCCCTGAGCCATTCACAGTAGAAACAATGCTCAGGCTTTGGTTGACCCTGTCAATCACATGTCTGCTTTCAATCAAAATAAACTGAAACTTATGCTTTATTCTCACACATTTTTTCCCTTTAATCTGATTGAATCCTGAAAGCAAGCAATAACCATAGGGACAATCGCATGCATACAATAGTCATACTGCAGGGAGATAGACAAACATAGGTGATAGTGGGTCATATAGATGAAAGATAGTATACCTGAAAGTTCCCTGCCTCCAGAAGCTCGCCTAGGTTCCGGCAAAGCTCCCGCAATCGGTCTTGATACGAACCTACGGGTTGCAATCCCGCTTGCCGCCTTGCCCTCAGATCAGGACCAGACTTAGAAAAAGAAGGTTAGAAGTAGAAAGTCTGAGACCCTCGGATTCAAGAAGGGTGCTCTCAAGCTCACTAGAGAGGGCCTTGCAATCTTCAGCTCCTGAGGGCCCCACAATGATGGCCAATCTGCAGCAGCTTGATCAAGCTCTGAAGTCAACCACCGGTCGTCGACCCTCTGACGATCCCCCAATTTGTTGATATAACCTTCAGCCTTGCAGCCCAATCATCCCTCCGAAACCCATCACCTTCCCTTAGCCCTTTCGTGGCCACACAACAACTGGCAATAGTCCAATACATACAGCAATAGTGCTCGACGGCAGTCTCCCATAGCTTCTGGCTATATACAGCTGTTCGCAGTAACCAACAGGCACTAATCAGTGGCATACAATGGTAGCCATCAATAGCAGTTGCACACCAACTTCCAGATGACAAGAACGCTAATGCCCACAATAGCCCATGCTCCGCCAAATAATCCAGCAATCAACAGTAGCGTGGAGTAGCATCCAGCGGCGGCCCGCATTCCATCTCACTGTCACAGCAGCCCTTGCTCAGACCCAGCGGCCAAATGACCTCAGACTGGAGCACTGGGCACCTGTAGCGAGGCAACCAATCTAAAAGACACAGCAGCACCGAACGCGAAGGGCACAGCCTGCAAGTTGACATAACATCCTGGTGACGTCCACAGCAGCAACCGGAGAGCATGAAGACGTTTAGCTTGTGGCCCAATCACCAAGTCCAGGTACGTGCCCTCAGATCACCATCTCCCTCCTTCCTGCTGATACGTCCACTGCGAGCAGCATACTGGTCTGGACCGCGTTGAGCACAACGAGCGCTGTTAGCTCAACTTGTGATTAGTGCGAAAACTGAAGAAGATGGCCGTTGTGGGCCGGACGGTTGATGACTAATGGTAAATGACCGGGGATCAGGCCACTACGGCTTTCCTCCACCACTGCAGTAAACACGCAGGCTTGATGATGAATCCCCGCTAGAACACGGGGAGATTTATCAAGCAGAATGGGGAGTGGTTCTTCCGCTGCAACGCGACCAGATGC